GGAATAATTTTTAGTAATGTATTACCAAGACAGAAGGTGAAAGGTGAAAAGAAACCCTCCCCTTCCAGGGCCGTGTCTCCCAGCTCTGTTCCTGAACCTCATCCACCTGCAATTCCCAGAGCTCTGGGCTGTGCACAGGGAGCCGGAGGTGACACCAACCTGAATTCACCTGAAATAGTTTTGCAATAACTTACAGCTTTAGCAAATGAAGTAGACATGGCTTGACTAAGTTACAGAAATGCAAGTAATTGGCAAAAAAAAAAAAAAAATCAAAAAAGGCAAAAGCAAAGCAGCCTTAATGTGGAGGGTGCAGTGACATTCAGCTTTGGGGCTGCCTGATAACATTAATACTGATAAAGAACAAAAGCCTGACAAGTGTAATCCTGATACTTTCCTTTGTGTGATTCCTTTGAGGATTACTCAGCAATTAAAGATTTCGAACAGTGCTACATTTCAAAAGGACAGTGTTCCAATCCCCTAAGGAAATCATCATAAGCCATTTACAGATTCTTCTTGGGTTTCAACTTATTAGAGAGAAAAAAAAGCTGTGGACATTTAGCTGTCTTAATTGGATGAGCAGCTTAACATCTGAAAATATTTTAAATATCTGTTATTTCTAGAATGTTAGGCATGATTTCCTCTCCAGCAGGACCAGTGTGAGCTGCATTGGCAGCTGAGGGCTCCTTTTCTGCACTTTATCACTCATGCTGCCCTGTGCTACAAGAAAGTGTCAGTGAACAAAGGCCTTTCTGCACTTATTTTGCTACTTCATTACCCAAAAGGGACTGGGTATAGTTCTACTAATAAGAGGGACATTCTGGTTATTAAAGAGAAACGGGAAGTATCTTGAATTAATCAAACCATCACTGCCATTTTCCCCCCTCAGCAGGTATTTTTGGAAGCTGAGTGGTTTCTGGTGAGACACTGCAGACAGGGAGGTGCTCACCAGCCAGCCCAGCTCTACAGCACCCAAGAGCCCAGCTTGGAAAATCCTGGGAGTTCAGAGCTCTTGCTGAGGCCCCTGAGAACTGCCTGGCATTGAGTCATCCCACCAACAGCACAGCCACTCCCCAGAACTCAGTTTGGACAAAGCACTGGCTTGCATAAAAAGCTCACTGCACAGAAGGTTCCATCACCTGCAGGTATTTAAGGGTACAAATAACTCTAATTCAGCAGGAGATTATTATGGTTCTGTTGGGTTTGCTCCCTTCTCCTCACCCACTGCTGTCCCTCCAACAAGGCTAAAAGCAAAACAACACCCACCTCAACAGAGGCCTGGAGTTGTGACCCTGTGTTGGAACAACCTACAAACCACTGAATAACCCCCCAGTGCCAGCAGCAGTGCCAGGGGCAACACTGAGTGTCAGAGCCTGGGCCTGTTCACCTGCTGTCAACAGGAATAAAAAAAATAAATGAGTGAAAAGGAATCCTCCTCCTCCTCAGACAACAAACGAGATCAAGAGAGCAAGGGTAAAAACTACAATTTCCAGCAGTTAACCAAGATCAGAAGTAAAGCAGCAACACCCAGAAAAGAAAGGAGAGACTGAGAGAAGCATTTTAAACAAGTCACTTAGTGAAGAGAAGCCCTTTCACTTTATCAACACACAGTGGGCTTCTCTGAACTCCTCTGGGGTCACCTGGGCATGGCAGAAGTTAACTAAAAGAGAAGCCAAGAATGGTTTCATAAAATTCACATTTCCACATTTTTCCACAAATGCATCTGTAGCAACAACAGCACCAAATTAAAAGATTCCCCCCCCAAAAGGGGTCAAATCATAGTCTCTAGAAAGCAGGACTTCTGTCAGCTGTATTTAAGCAGGGAGGGAATTGTTGAACAGATTCAGCACTGTCATTTAAAAATTACTTGGAGATTTTTCAATCAAGTTTTTGCTTGATTGGACCAGACAGAGTGACTGGAGTCAACCATCAACAGGGCCATTCGTCCAAAAATGCTCCCAGGGAGTCAGGATCCTCTTCCCCTGACATAACTGTTCTCATCCCCCTCAGCTCTCCAAGGAACTTCACAGGGAATGCAAACCTCAGTCTCTGATCTGTTCCTCTCCCCCCCTGAATCAACAGACCTCAGGAACAGATGCCACTGAGTCAGTACAAGGAACAAAACCAGTCGAGCCCCAGGGTTAGTCGCTGTAGTGCAGGCACATGCTGGAAAATTATCACCTCGTCTGAAACCCTTCATCTCTCAGGGCTTTGCTTCCCAAAGAAACGGCAGAGCCTCTTCTCTTATGCAAATGCCACGTGGCATTTGGAACGTTCTGACACAAAGGAGGGAAACAAAAGTACAAAGCACACAAACCAAAAATCAACCAGGAGACTCCTGTCTGTTGGCAGTGCCCACAATTAGGGATGACATGGGAAGGACTTGCAGGGGTTCAGGGAGGAACAAGCCAAAGTTGACCAAAGTACCAATTACCAACAGCAACTGCTGATTTCGTTCCCTGGCAGTACCTGGAACCCTCCAATTATGTTAATCTCAGAGAGGGGAGAAAAAAAAACAAAACAAAACAAAACAAACCAGCCCTACAGCAGGTTTTTAAAGGTTTATAGCAGATTCTGCAGAAGGGGATAAACACATCTTTTTTAAAATGAAAAATACCATTTCCCTAATGCCCTGTGCAAAGGATGGCTGCATTAATCCTGGCAATCTCCTCACGTCCTCCCCCATGTTTTCCAAAGGCAGCCAGAGCACCGAGGCTCGTTCAGCAAATGGCACCGTGAGTCAGTGGGGCTGGAGCTGTGGGAAGGAAGGAGATGACGCCGTCCATGGAGGCACAAAAGTCTTCAATATGATTCATGTCACAACATGGATCCAAACAAGTGACTTCTGGTGCAGACACAAACTGAAAGGGTATTTCTGGGTCCGTGCCGAGGGACTCAGCAGCAAACACAGCACGTTACAACAGCAAACACATCCCAGTCCATCCAAATCCACCTCCTCCTTCCTCAGCAGAAAAACAGTTGGGCCAGCGTGGAATTTATGCCAAATCCAGCAGCAGTCCTTGCACAGGGAGGTGAAGGTCAGACCATGTCATGGAATCCCAGACTGGAACACCTTCCACTATCCCTGGCCTTGGACACTCCCAGGGCTGGGGCAGCCACAGCTTCTCTGGGCAACCTGTGCCAGGTTCCCCCCACCCTCTGAGCACCGTATGCTCCACTGTCACTCAAAACTACTTCCAGAAAGTAGAACAGCTCTGTTTTTAACCTGGAGCTCTGCAAGACTCCAGGAGCTTGACAGTGAAGCTGCAGATCACCAGGGGCGAAGGAAAAGCAGGGGAAGGAGCAGGAAAATGCCTGTATTGTGTCAAAACTGACAAACCCCTGTTCCCACACTGAAAGGCCTCATACCAGCATGATTAGTCACAAACGATCACAGCTTTTATTCCTGTCACACCGTGTCATTTTACCTTTAATGAGATATCAAAAAAAAAAAAAAAAAATTTGTGAGTGTTCCTAGAGCGTTCCAGAATGGACCTGCTCCTCCAAACATGATCCCAAGCCAACCTAACCCCTCAGCCAGAGCAGCACTGAGCTTGGGAAGAGATCCTTAAGTACTGTCCACAGAGAACTCAACAAATATTGTGCGACCACCAGCCCAACTCACCTCTGTCTTGTGGTGGGACCATCACCAGAACTGCCTCATGTTCTCTCTACAGTCCCTTCCCAATGACAGGCAATTTATTTGAAGTTATTACACAGGTGAAAACGAGCTGTGAACACACAGTGAACAGCTACAGAAACTTCACCCTCCTCACAATAAAAGTTTTTACTTCTCTCACGAAAAGTCAGATATTAGGTCAGCTCCCAGTCCCTCAGTACCCCAGACCTTTGTCACAAACATTTTATGATACAGACACTGTCAGAGACAAGCAGGTGTCCCCTGCTGATGGTGTTTTCCTGCCACAGAGAGAGTCTTATATCACAGACACAGCCCATGAGCAGGGAAAGAAGGAAAGAGAACCTCTTACACCAGTGGGAAACACCCAACTCCTGGATGCTGCCACTTTCAAAACCATCTCCTTCTGCAATCAGCATAGTCTTGGATCAGCTCTCTAATGTGAAATAGCCTTGGATTCCTCCTTCTCTTTCGTTTCTACAGAAAAGAAGTTCTTACCATAGAACTAATCCCAATTCTTGTGTTTTCTGGCTTCAGAGCTATGCTAATTCTGGCTATAAACAGATACATATTCAGTATTTAGTTTTCAACTCAAAAGGTAAAAAAAAAAGGCCTGAACAACAATCTCAGAACTTCAGAAACCTTCTGGTTTTAAATATAACAATCAAACAAGCCACACATATTTGTGATCTCAGACTCCTATTTCTGTTCTTAACTAGGTTTAAGAAACAAAAAAATGAACATAGAGAAATTCAACGTGGATAAATACCACAGTTTTGAAATCAACAGTTGCTTCAATAACTATAATAATTACACACTCCCTGAAAAACCTGACTAAGCTTTGAAGTCAGCTCTGCCAACCCTGAAGAGGTTGGACCAGACACTTCCAGGGGGGCTCAGCCAGCCTGAATCTTCCCGTGGCACTACATTTATCCAAATCCCCATTTAGAGCACATTCCTGCAATTCTCCCTGACCTGTTCTCACAGGCTGCACATCTTTCACTGGGAAAGAAAATAACCCACAGCACAGAGGAGCCTTGGGCAGGGCCCTGGGGTCTATGGGGCTTATAGGGCCCAGGGAGCCTATGGGACATACAGGGCATATGTGGCCTGTGGGGATCACATGGCCTACTGGTTTGGTTATGACTTTTTTTTTTTTGTTTTCTCTTCCTTTTCAAACCAAGTCCAATATCTACATCCATTAATTATCACATAAAGTTTCCAGGTAGAAGGGATTTTCCGCGTTTTGAGTTTGTGGAAGCCCTTAATAAGATTACTAACAGATCGGAGCAGGGCTGTGTTTGTCGAGTGTGGAGTCAATACCAATTTCCCAGCTGAGCAGTTCAGCTGTGACCCTCCCTCTTACCACTCCAATCAAGTCCCCTCGGCCGTATTCCCCAGTCAGGTGCTTTTTCCCATCTTCCATCCGTATGACGGAGCGAAGGCGCCCGTTCAACACGATGTAGGTGCAGTCAGACTTGTCCCCCTGCCTGCAGAAAGGATCAATAACCAGGATTAGTGAAGCATCTCCGCTCAGCAAATGCACTTGGAGCCTTTGAATAAGCTGATTTTCCCTACCTGGCTCAGAGGACACAGGACAGGGTTTAACTGAGACAAAATAAATAAGCAAACAAGAACCGGAACAGGCACCTGTTAAAAGGTGCCCTGGAAATATGTTTAATGTTTAAATGTGCAGGCTGTGCACAACTGCTTGAGGACAAGGCAAAGGAGAACAGCTTTAAACTCAAACAGAGTTTAGATTGGATATTGGGAATAAATTGTTCCCTGTGAGGGTGGGCAGGCCCTGGCACAGGTTGCCCAGAGAAGCTGTGGCTGCCCCATCCCTGGAAGTGTCCAAGGCCAGGTTGGACGGGGCTTGGAGCAACCTGGGCTGGTGGAAGGTGTCAGGGGGGTTGGATCTGGATAATCCTTAAGGACCCTTCCACCCCAAACCATTCTGTGATTCCATGACAGGTCTGGAAGTGGATGACCAGGGTGCACATGGGGGGACAACACTGCTGGTTGCACAGGAGTTTACTCCCACTGCAAGACCAGTGTGGATGTGCAGAGAAATCGTGCAGGTCAGAGAGAAAACTCCCAAGTGGCTCCAGATTTGGATTCCTTTTGGTGCACACACCAGGAAGCTTTTGCTATCCTGAGCTGGCAGGATTAGGGGCTGTGTTTGGAATGCTGATTTCCAGCATGTGGATGGAATGCCACACTTCTGGTGGTGCAGCTAAAACTAAGGAAGGAATTCTGAAAGGTTTTAATAGGATATTGACAGCTGTGAATGCTTTGATGCACAGAGTAATCCAGAACTTCCATTAGCCTTGCTGCTGCAGGTACAATAATAAAAATTACAATTACAATTACACAGATCAAGGCCTAAATTAGACTGTTATTCTCCCACCACTGCAGCAACCACGTAACAGCTCAATTGCATCCTAGTACAGATCCATAAAACTACGTTTTCCCAAGGTAACTTTTGCTCCTTAAACACAAATTTCCTGTTTTCAATTTACTACAGAATAAGCCTAACTGAATTACCTTTGAGTTTTGCTGTTTATTTTAGAGAGGCTGAAAAACTCCTTGTGCAATAGATGTTCATGCTCTTACAACTGTCTGTGTCTTAATCAGTTATGTCACTTAAAAAGCTTGCCAAGACAACAGAAAGGATGAGGAATAGTATGAAATAATTTAGTAACACCTGGAGACAAGAGACTGAAGCAATGCTGAAGGTACTGCAGAAAGAAAATTATCTTAAAATAGGCAGATAACACCTGATGGAACGGTTGATAAACATAGTCCAACGGGTTTCTCATCCTAGACATCAGCAAGGGAGCACAGCTCATTAACCAGGAAAAATTCAAACACACAATTCATCCACATCTCACCTGTAAACAGCCCGTCCAGCCTCCACCTCCATCCAGTCCAGGGCAAAGTCAATCTGCCTGACAAAGGGGGACATTCTCTTCACAACCGTGTGGGCCACCCCAAGGACCACACTGGGCTGCTCCCGCATGATCCTGGAGGGAGAAGGAAAGGGTTATTGCAGTGCTTCCCCAAAACAGGAACAGGTGCACACAGGTACCACCCCCCAGTGCAGCTGGGCACTCACACTGGCAGCAATTCCAAAATTACCCACAGGCACAACTCCACTGCTGCCATCACAGCAGGGATTCTCTGACTGCTGTCCAGCCCAATTCCCTTCTCCAAGTGCAGTGGGAGGGATGGAGCCATGTGATGTCCCCAGGATGATCCCTCCCTGCCCTCCTGCACCTCTCAGTCTCTCACACGTGCTCCCAGTTTCCCCCAGATATCAGAGCAGAATCTCTTTATATGCCAAGTCTGATGCTCTTAAAAATAAAAGGCCTGCTCTGAATTTCAAATGTTCCCTTTTCCCTGTTGCAAACACCACAAAGAACTGAAACACCTTCTAATAAAGCTCCTGATCTTCACACCGAATCTTTTGAGTCATGCCTAAAAGTCTCTAGTAATAAAGATATCATATAATTCAATACTTTCCCCAAACTGAAAAACTTTGAGAAGGTTCTGCCAGGATAAGTGCAAACTTCACACTGACTGTGAGGCCCAGGGGAAATCACTCTCACAGACACCTGGGAACTGCTCAGGAAAGTCTCATTTCTCGTTCTTTTTAAGCTAAAGATCACTGCATCCTGTCACTGTGAGTGAGCACTGCAATTCCTCCTGAATCATTCCACAGGATCACACACAGAGGTCAGGCTGTTCTTCTACCTGTTTAGGGCTACTTATCTTCCCTGTTCCTGCACAGCATCAAGAGCAGTTGATGACAGATCACTAAAACATAGCTATTTCACAACAGACAGGATGATTCACAAAAAAGGAGGTGTGTGCCTGCACAAATTGCACACACAGATGAGGGAGCTCTGTGAAACCCCTCATGGACAGAAACAAAAGGGGAAACAATGATAAATCACACAATCACAGAATGGCCTGGGTTGGAAGGGCCAAAGATCATCTCACTTCACCCTCTGCCATGGGCAGGGACACCTTCCACTAGCCCAGGTTGCTCCAAGCCCCGTCCAACCTGGTCTTGGACACTTCCAGGGATCCAGGGGCAGCCACAGCTTCTCTGGGCAACCTGTGCCAGGGCCTGCCCACCCTCACAGGGAAGGATTTCTCCCCAACATCCCATCTAACCCTGCCTTCTGGCAGTGGGAAGCCATTCCCCCTTGTCCTCTCCCTCCAGGCCACTGTAAATAGACTCTCCCTCTTTCCTGTTGGCTCCTTCAGGCACTGGAAGGCCTCAATCAGGTCACCCCAAAGCTTCTCTCCAGGCTGAGCAATCCCAGCTCTCCCAGCCTTTCCTCCCAGCAGAGCTGCTCCATCCTCTGATCCTCTTGGTGCCTCCTCTGGACTCTCTGCAGCAGCTCCATGTCCTTGCTGTGCTGTTCCCAGGGCTGGAGCAGCTCTGCAGGGGGGTCTCACCTGAGGGGGCAGAATCCCCCCTGTCCTGCTGCCCACGCTGGGGGATCAGCCCAGGGCACGGGGGGTTTCTGGGCTGGGTCATGTTCAGCCTCTGCCCCACCAGCCCCTCCAAGTCCTTCCCCCAGGGCTGCTCCATCTGCTCATCCCCAGCCTGGATTGATCCTGGGGGTTGTCCTGACCCAGGGGCAGCACCAGCACTTGGCCTTGTTGAACCTCATGAGGCTATTTTGTTAAGTTTTCTGCATCCGTGTTCCTCTTACAAGGAAGATGCCAGATTGCCACAACAAAACCTACTGAGGAGACCCTCACGAGGGAGCTCTCGCTGAGCACAAATCATGCCAGCTTCATATCCACCCTCACACCCTTAAACCACCCAGGAGGGGTGGAAGGAACACTGTCAGTCTTTGCAAGGAACTGGACTGATTGCAGTTCCTTGTGGACCACTGGAACCTGGCAGGATCAGAGAAAGTGCAAGTAGAGCTCCCTAATCCAAGACTGTGACAGCAAAAGCAGACTCACCAGGAGCTCTGCACTGCCTGGGTGTGGCACAGAAGCTGCCCTGCAGTTTCTAAACCATCAGTTGCCTCCTTCATCAGTCCCTTTGCTGCAGCTGGCAGGGGCTGTGGGTCAGTGCAGCACACAGGGAGCTTTCATGGACACCTGCTCTCCTCCCTCTGGGCCTCCAATTACTACTTTTCACAGGAATGAAGCCTGTAATTTCTTCAGCCAAAATCCCTGAGAGGTAGAGATCCTCAGGCACAGATCCCTGTTCCATACTGAGCTCATCACACTCGCATGTGCTACGAGGTAAATTAAACTGAACACCACCTCTTACAGTTGGCACTCTTGGAAATCCAGCCAGCAAACGGCATTACCCAAAAGCAGGACAGCTTTTCTCTCCTGACCCTCTTCTCTTGCCCTGATTTTTCCAAGCCTTCCGACCATCTCCTGCCCGAGATACCTACAGACACACGGAAAACACTCAGCCCTATCCCCCCTTTTCAGCTCGTTGAAAAGTTAAGTAAAGCCCCTAAAAGCTCCTGAATGGTTTAGCTCATTGGTTTTACTCCACTTGCTTATTTAGCCCTCAAAGTCTCCTCCCACACAGGCTGTCTGCTGTCGTCAATAAAAAGCCATTTACTCTTTCCCTCCCTCAGGATATGTATCTTAATACTTAATGCATTCAAGATGTAAACTACTAACAGGCTGCTTTTATTTCCACCTGGAGCTCTCTGCCATCTCCCTCAGTTCTCTACAAGAGAATTAGGACAGAAGGTAAAACCCACCCTTATGAAGGAGAAGAGGAAAGCAGATTTTTTTTTTTCCCTCATTATCAGCCAGGTTTCCTTCCTCTCACTGTGCTCTTCTGCTTGGCACATGCCTGGCACCGAGACAATCAAAATCCAACTCGTTTCTGAAGGGACCCTGAGGATTCTTTATTAGAAAGCTCACCAAAAACAGCAGTGAAAGGGCTGAACCAGTTTCTATGAAAGCCTGGGACAGCTCTGCAGATAGAACTGTGCCTGTGGCTGCCATCTGATCCTCAGCTCGGCTGGCAGGGCCAAACGAAAAGCAAAGTGCTCTGGCAAGTGCTTCTCTGCTTCTCTGGCAGGTGCTCAGGATCAGGGCTCTACTCACACTCTGCAGCACAGACACTTATTGAGTCACGGCAGCACCAAGGAAAAGTGCCCCCCAAGTGCCAGTGGAAAGGATTTAATCTGTTGTCCAACATCCAATGCGAAATTCTACACCCCGGGCTCCCTCCATTACTGAGCTCTTTGCCTGATGGCAACTCTTGACCATGTGCTTTCTGCTTCACCCTGTCATTAATTATTGAGGAAAAGCACAAAGTGCTCCCAGACAGTGAAAAAGGAAATAATTCACAGGAAAGGAAGAATGGAATTTTGGAGAATAATGGAGATTCTTGGCAAATTTCTTCTAATCTGTAACTTAAAGTAAATATAAACAAATTTAAAAAAAAAAATAACTCCTGTGAGATTCCAAGCAAAGGAGAAAGCCAGACTTTGTGGGGCTATGAGCACAGAATCTGGCATAAAAGTGGAAAATAAAACTTCTATCCTGTTTTATCAACAGGTGTTTCTTTCTCAGAGGGTTCAAAGCCAAAATGAACCAACCTGATGCTTTTCAAAGCCTTTCTCCAATGACACCTAAATGTGGGCACAGGAGTCAGAAGTGCCATAAAGTATCTGGGGTTCAGGACAAATTGTGAAGATGAAACACTGGAATATCAAAGAGCTTGTAAAATGCAGAGAACAGGCAACAGACCTGAAAGGAGGGGAAAAAAAAATATTTGGAAAGACCCCAAAAATGATGAAGAGGGCATGCTCTGATGGGGTCTTGAGCACTGACTGGTGAGGGGTTAAGGGAAGCAAAAAGATGGAATAAACAAGAAATAACTCCGTTCTTGAGAGAGAAAACTCAGGAAAATGAGCTTCAGCAAAGGAGAGAAATAACCCAGCCCTGAATATCAAAACAAACAAAAGAAACAGAGGAGGAAAAGGTGGAATCTGCCCGTTTGGCTGGGACAAAATAATGAAATTTCAAGTCAGGAACAAGTAGGAAAACAACAGCAGCAAAAGACAGACAGAAAAAGCAGGCATTTAGAAGAATAGGCTGATATTGCATGGAATGGCACAAGTGGGAAACATCCATCAGAAATTAGGCCACAGAGATGACATCCACCCCACAGACTGGGAAAAACGCAGCTCCAAGCACATGCTGAGCACAGCACGTTCATTCCACAGTAACAGCCTCTTGCCTGAGGTGGGAAAACCAAAATCCCACAGTAAGATTCTGGGGTAGAGTTGATTAGGAATATAAACAACCAGAATTATTTAAGAAGCGAGAAGTATGTAGGAATATACAACATAACAGTGGCCTAGAAAAGACAACCACCCCAAAAAGTCCTATATATAACTCAGGACTGATGGCACATTCCAGCAGAAGCTGAAAAAGAAGTTTAGAGAAGGAAATAGAAGTATTTAGGGCAAATTGTGCATGTGAAATAATAGCAGCTCAAAACAATAGGAACATGGAATAAATCAAGGGTTTTAATCATTATTATTGGCAACAAGGCTAACCACAGTCATCATATTGAGCTTTTAATTAAGAAATACCTATACCCCCCATTAAGTATTGAGTTCCAAAGTTATGTGCTACTTCCAAGGTCCAGGAAGGAACCTGTCTTGCACTGGGGCATTCCTGTTTGATCTGTTCTATTAGTGAGCATTGAAACCCCACAATTACACCCAGACCAACCACTCACAACGCACCCAACAGCCTGGGCTGTGTTAGGGAATAAAACTGGGGAAGTTTTCCAGCAAAAAGAAATAATGAATCCAAGAGAAATGGCCTGACAAAGCAGCACTTAACCCAGCAAAGCCCAGGCTCTGGCCAGACCCTCTTACTTGGATTAGGAAGTATATGAATCTTGGGTCATAATTCCCACCCTAACAGGTAAGACCTTGAACAAAGGAGATGTCACCATTTAATATTCCCATGTTCTCCTCCTGCTGGAGATAAAGCCACCTGACAGATGGATGAACCCCTCCTGTAAGCTGTGTGGTTTGCTGGGGGATGTGCTGTAGCAGCACCACCCCCCACACACACACCCCACTCACAGTCAGAATCATGGAATCATCCAGATTGGAAAAGACCTCCAAGATGAACTGAAGATTGACTGAATACCTCCATGCCCCTTAAACCACATCACAAAGTGCCACATCTACACCTTTTTGGAACACTTCAAGGGATGGGGACTCCACCCCTGCCCTGACCAGCCCGTGTCAGTGCCCAACTACCCTTTCCATAAAGAAATATTCCCTAATACGCAACCTGAACCTCCCCTGGCACAGCTTGAGGCCGTTCCACCTCTTCCTGTCCCTGTTCCCTGGGAGCAGAGCCCGAACCCCCCCCCGGCTCCCCCCTCCTGTCAGGGATTGCAGAGCCAGAAGGTCCCCCCTGAGCCTCCTTTTCTCCAGGCTGAGACCCCCAAGCTCTCTCAGCTGCTCCTGCTGCTCCAGCCCCTTCCCAGCTCCCTTCCCTTCCCTGCACATGCTCCAGCCCCTCAGTGTCTCTCCCATCATGAGGAGCCCAGAACTGCCCCCAGGATTTGAGATTTGGCCTCACCAGTGCTCAGCACGGGGAGGGGGCAGTCACTGCCCTGCTTTTCATTCAAAAGGGTCATAAAAAATTAATTAAAAAGAAAAAAAATCAATACACGTTTTAATGGCAGAACTCACTCATAGAAATGGGACTTGGAAATGGACAGGAAGCTGCAGTCTCTGTTGGCTTTGATGGTGAAGATCAGTGGCTCCCCAGTGAGCACGGCGAGCTGGCCCACGAGCTCCCCGGGGTGGGTTATGAAGAGACAAGTGTCCTCCTCAGAGTCAATCTTCCTCTGGTACACATGAAGCATCCCCGAGACCACAAAGCAAACATTAACATCCTGCAGCAAATGGAAAAAAAAAAAAAAAAAAAAAAAAAAAAAAAAAAAAAAAAAAAAAAAAAAAAAAA